GGAAATAACCTACACCTTGGTCTGCTGCAGCCTGGCCTAGCAGGGGTTTACACCCAAGACGTCAGGACAAGCTCGAGATGAGCTTAGCTGTTTCTTCCATCTTCATCATCTGCCCTGGACTACACACATTTCCCATCCCCACAACAATGGTAAGTCAACAGATGTTATGAATAGGGTGAGGGAAGGATAGGGGAAGGAGGAAAAACAAAAGGGAAGTGGGTGTCAAAGCTCTCATCTGGCCTTTTTGCACAGGCCCAAATCCACCTTCACTCTGCAACAAACTCCAATTTGACTTCAGGAGGAGGTTTTCTGAGAAAGGACCATGAAAATTTGGCTTACAGTAAAACAGTTTGAACTAAGAAAGGACGTTGCCATTCTTTTGTAACCTCACAGACCCAACACCAAGAGGTGCCAGGCAAAGGAATATAACAAAGCTCATTGGCACACAGTGTTATGCTATCGCATCTCTGTAAGTCACCTGCCTTTACTACAGGGAAAATTTCATCCAATTTGCACAGAAATCAAGAGATATCCCCTTGAAATTGCATCAGGGCCCAAGCACATTTAATGGAAAGGTACAAACTCTGCAGGCATAGGGCCTGCTGATGACAGAGCGTGGCCCTGTGACAGTGAGCCTCCTTCACCAAGACAGAGCTATCACAAACTCCTGCCAGAAAGGCAAAGCTTCAACAAAAGACAGAGGCTTTGCCATGCTAATCCATCAATAAAGTGTCTTCAATGTCACTACAGCTATCCCAGAAACGGGCCAGTATGCATCATCTAATCCACAGCGGCCATCACGCACACAGAGGGATACCTCACAGCATGGATTCCTCAGAGGAGGGTGGGAACCTGACTCAGTGCTGTGCCCACCTGAGCTCTGCTCCAAGCACAGCACCCAACCTGACAGGGAAAAAAAACCAACACTTTGAACCCCAAGACCTTGAGTGACTGGCCAGTGTAACACAGTGGAGCAAACCTGCAGAAAGCCACACAAGAAAAGCTTGTTGAAACACAACAGGCGTGTGAGCGCGGCACGGGGATGTCCTGCTGCCCAGGGACCCACCGGTGCAAGGCAACCAAGCGAGGCAAAGGTGGGAGAAGTCCGCAAAGCCAACCGTGTTTGGACAAGAGCAGGGGAGTATCACACGTGTATACCATGTCATTCGACCTCAACAAGGCAAAAAGAAACAAGAAAGAAAACTGAGCAGAGGAGATACACACCTGAGAACTCCCCTATGGGCCATGTCCAGCGAAGCACAGAGAGACAAGGGAAAAAAGGAAGTGAAGAAAGGATCAATCAGTGACTGAAACCAACAAAATAAAAATTTTGTTCAAAAAAAATTAACAATGATTCAGCCATTTCAATGTCAAAAGGCATGAAATAGTAAGGACAGGACCTGCCATGACTGTAGATGGCATGACTCTACATACAGGACATAAAAAAAAAAAAATCCAGGGAAGGTAATCCGTGGTACAACAGCAACCACATGCCTCAGCTACCCCCAGTTTTCCAGACATGAATCTTATGCAATCGCATCTTTCTGGACTGGATAAGCCTTAACTTTATTTAGTCATGTACCACTAAATGCAGAACAGCTAGTTCCCACTACCTTCTCTTTTTCCCCTCCCCTTCTTATTTTAGCAACTAGATCTTCCGATAATAAACGTGCTCTTCAATGATACTTCAGCTTCCAAGAGAATCAGTTGCATTTTAAAACTTTTTTTTTCTTTTTTACAATGCAGTGCTGGGACTCGGATAATCCCATTTCAACTTCTGTACAAAAAACTATACATAAACTTACCGCTAATATGGCTGAATTTCTGTCTTCACCACAAAACCTCTGTTAACTTGAAGGGAGGTTTTAATCTCCAAAGCAAACACAGTTGGGCATCCTAAAACCGAAAGGAAGGGCCTACCCATAGCACAGAACCAAACTGCTAGTGCTCCTTTCCATCTGGAAACTATATGGATAGGGAAGAGGAAGGGGGAGATGGGAGAAGGGGGAGTCCACCCAGGATTGGGAGGTAAGAACCTGCGATTAACAAGGGAATACGCAGGAAAACAGCCCACTAATGTTCCTAAGGCTATAGTGAGAAACAAGGGAATTTGGTCTACAATTACCATTAGTAAATCATTGTTCTCATTCCACGTCTTTCTCCAGAATACTTCCTATACAGACTCATGTATGTAAAGCAGGATTAGAGCCAGGTGGGGAAACCCACATATTTTATTTATTATTTGATATCCAAAAATTGCAATGAAGAGTGCCAATTTTGTACTGAGAGATGTTGGCTGCTTTGCAGATATCCAGAAGGAATGAGTGAGATTTTCCATTCAAGAAACAGACTTCCTGCCAGCTACAGCTCAAGAGTAATTTCTGTAAGATCCTTCTGCTTTGAAGTCCTCTTTAATGAGGCTTCTCTTTCTTTAAGAAACTGAGTCCAAAAGGAGAGAATATTCTTTGAAGATTGACTGCCAAGTTTTGAAAGACACTAGAGGAAGTATTCAAATTTCACTTAGGTGAGGTAAACTTTATTAATTCTTTGGATTTACAGAGAAAAGTGAGCTCCAAATACGACCCAGAAAGAGAAAGAACTCTTTCAGCTTGTGGATCTTGTTTCTTACATCACGTCTATAAAGCACAGTTTCCTCTGTGGCTCTTCAGGCAATGATGATAGTCTGGATGATAGTCTGGAACATGTTCTTACATTTCAGTCACACTATGGCCTATACTAGTATCAATTTCACAGATTTTTGTCTTTGATAGAGCAAGAAATATCACATTAACCTCCTTTCCAGTCTTCAGTCCATGTCTTCAGGGTCAAGCCTTCAGTGCATAGGGTAAAATCTATCTTCTCTGTGGAAACATACCCTTTAGAGAGCCCTCATACGAGACTCATATTTAGAGGTGACACAAGTATCTTTCTAATTCAATTTCTGCAAAGGTAAGCTGCTGCAAATCTGTGACACGATTAAGCTCATCCTATTTTGGACATATAGACCAAAATTTACAAGATTATCTTACATCAGTAATCACCAGAAAGAAAATACACACTGTCAGATCAGATCTCTTGCTAATAAATGCATTAAAGGCATATTGTTGAAGTCCTTGGGTCTCCTAAGGCTCCTTAAATCAAGCAGTAAAACGGAAAGTGAGTTACACAGCTACAGACGTTGTCAGCTGCCCATGTTGTCTGAGTATTCAAAGATCACTCATGTTGTCCTGATTCAGGAAAATACTCAGCAGGATTTAAGAACATGTTTAAATTCTGTTATGAATTAAAGTCTAGATACTCAGGAGTCCAACACCAAAAAGTGTGGCAAGGGTTCAGACTGCTGCCTGAGGTAAAGCTGCATCTCTGACTGCTTCGAAGTCCTGGTCGGGAATATGGAACCAGACCAGACTTCTTTCAAAATCAGCCTAAAAAGTGAATTACTACCTCTCTTAGACTGACTATAAAAGGGTAAAAACTGCAATACAGACCATAATATTTTGATATAATTTATATTCCAAAAACTCAACAAAAGGAGTTACTTTCTTGCAAATTTCAAACAAACACTTTGTTACAAGTGAAATTGCCAAGGAGTAAAGTTATGGGGGGGAGAAATTGGGTGAGGAAGTAGAAGGAACAAATTTTGTCTTCAAACTGTTTGTGTGGAAGAATCCTACAGAAAAATAACTTACGCACATAAAGACAACCCAAATAAAAGTTGCCCAATAATTTAAGTTATTTACTAAATAAGCATTACTGTAATGCAGGGACATACTTCAGTCATATAATGCCTCAATTTCCATGCCATTTTTTTTAAAAGCTCAACATTCAAGTTCTCAAAAAGAAAAAAGAAAAGATAACTGAAGTGCTTCTAGAAGGTTAATAAAATCAGCATTGTACCAGAGAAAAGAGAATGGTTGTAAAAAAGTTTTTACCTAGCAGATCTGCTCCTTCATCAACATCTCCGATAACCTCGGACCCTGCTGTGGAAAGTTCATGATACAGAGAGTCTGTGTTGATCCCAAACGCTTTGTTCACAATCCCCTGTGTTGGGCTGTTGTTGGAAGAAAAAAAAAAACCAACAAAAACAAGGACTCTAGTTACTTGGCAACATTTAAGCTAGAGCATTTCTCTCCAAAATACTGAGCACTCCTGACCACTGAGATGAAAACCCTGAGAACATGTTCCACCTGCTCACCGCAGGCTCGTTCAGAGAATGTACCGAGTAAAGAAAAAAATCGTATTTTATTCCCCATGTCAAGGAATAGTACCTATCATGCACAACCTCAAAGCTTGTCCAGTTGACTTCCTTCCAAATCGTAACAGTTAATGACTATTTGACAGAAAAATTGCGACTTGCAGAAGCTCTCAGCTCTTCTTAAGACTCTTTGAGGACTCCTACACTCCAATAAATTTAGATAGCAACCTTTCACAACAGTGAGATCAGATAAGGAACCAAATGGTGAAACCAGCAATGGTCTTTTTCCTTCACAAGCTGGCAAGTGGAATCAGCATGAAGGGTTTGTTTCCTCTTTGGGTGAGTCTATGTGCCAAAATGCTTCTTCCCATGTCAGCAAAATGCATTTTATTAAAGGTAAATCAAAGTTAATGTTTTCTAATCATACGAGAGCACATTTCCACCTCTGAGTGTCTTTGGTACCATCAAGAATCTTCTTGCATTTCTTGACAGTCTCATGGCTCAAACAGAAAATAGGTGTTACAGGAGGTGAAGGCTCTGGGATTGTCATTGCTTACTCTAGAAAAAGGTCTTAACGTGCGTTTAAACACAAGTGCCCTGTCTTGTATGAGGGGAATCAGCCAACATGAAGAGAGGCTGTGCACTTTTTCCAGTAGTCTAACAGAAAGGTCAGTACCACTGGAGATTACTCAAGCTGTGTGGCCTCATTCTTAGATAAATCAAGTTTCAGTGATAAGGCCTGGAGGTTACAAATGGGGTGCAGTAGCTGCCTCTGATATTGCAGAGTTACAACACATTGCAGAGAAAAGGAAAAAAAATTGGGTATCTTTTTCAATTACAGAAAAATTACAGCTACCCAGACATCTGAGAGCACTGCGGAGTTACAAATGGGTGCCGTGACTGTCCAGAATCAATCAGTTCTCACAGTCTAATGAACAGCACAAGTGACAAGAAGCAGCCACCACTCAACTTCTGACCTGAAAACCTGATTTGGCTTGAACCTATCTCTTCAGCACTCAACTTTCAGAAGCTGTCTCTATCTCAAAAGCATTCTCCTTTCAAAGCAGGAAGCACACTGTTCAGCAGCTCCAGAGTTCACTTGTGTCTTCTGTAGCTTTCGGTCTCACCTCCTGGATCAGAGATCACTGTCTGAAGAGCTCCCAGTACGCCGATCCTCTCTGTTCCCTTTTTTATCTTGGGTTTAACCAAATTTTGATCTGATCTCATCAGTCACTTTTTGCTTCCCTAGATTCCTCCTGCATCCGATCCTAAAAATTGTCCATGCATCCTACATATTCTAAAAGGAGCTTAACTGCGTATGGTTTTGCAGTTGAGAAATGCATATTATTGCTGCTCATACCCTTCTCAACGAGGGTGCTCAACAGGGGGAATCCAGTCCAGATCTGGATTGTGAGAAAATCTTGCCTTAACTTTGTCAGGGTATTATCTTCTGCATACCTGTAAGAGCTAGGGGGTTATTTTGTTGGTGCAGTGCCAGATTACCCAATGGAGGGGAGTAAAAATTAATGAATCCTGTAAAATTAACCACCAGACCTTAGTAAAAATACATCAAAGTGCCTAGACTAATAATTCCAGTCTATTACATGCCTCACAGAAATATGGTGCCAAAATTAACAGCCTTTAGGGAGCTAAACAGGATCAGCACAAAACAAGTGATGGATAGAACAAGAACAGCAGAGTAGTTTAGTGAAAGTCTGCTAATTCAGATGACCCTGTTGAGGTCCTGAGTGCACTGATGGGTCAAAATTGCTCTGACCAGCCACGCCTGGGACCTGCACCCACCCACTGGTCCAAGGGTTCCCTTGAACCTCAGGCCTGCACCTTCATTCCTCTGAGCTACATGGTAGGTGTATCTGTCCTCAGCCCTGTCTCCTGCTGCTCATGGACCTGACATTTGTCTTCTCTGGAGAACTCAAAGAAGGTCAGAACCCCTCATACCTGCACTAGACAGAATATATGGACTTTCTTGAACAAGTGCATCTTGAACTCAGTGTGAGCCACGGCATCCATTCCTCACTCCTCATAAAACCAAGGAAGAGCACACACTGCAAAGTCACAATCAATACCTGTTACCAGTGCGCTCCAGGCGGGGGTCCTGACACATATCCAGCTCTGGAGTAGAGTCTATGATGTCCTGAACATCCGACCACTCATCACTGCTGCCCATTCCTGGGGAAGACAATACACATGATCTATGGGATCAGGACTTTCACAGGATGGTGTTCCTTGAAGGGACTTCTGCAGCTTTGACTAATAACGTTCAAAAACTACACAGTATTGTGTTTGAAGTCTTAAAATAGGAACAGAAAGTGGCTGATCATCTGGAGTCACAAATGCACCAGTGCTGGAAAGGTGTGCTCCCAATTCCAGAGCAGGAAAGCCATAAGCACCCCCTCTCCCCCACCAGACCAAAGTAGCACCAAGGTCATTGGCCTGGATCCTCATTAAAATGTGATAACCAGAAACATTAAAATAAATATAAAATAAATCATTAAAATAATTATTAAAATAAATTCCAAACACACCTATCTGTCAGTAAAAACTCCTCAATCACCATGCAGCTTTAGCTGAGACTGAAGACAACACAATGATTTTCTGTATAGCTTCACAGAGATTACTGTAAGTTATGAACTGGTACTATTTAGTTTTAATAGAAGTAAGTTTTCAATTCTCAAGTCTACAACTGGTTTAGATACCCATTACAGTGAAATTTCACTTAAAAACGGATAGATTAAATCTAATCTGTTTTCTGTATAATCTACAGCCTGAAGCCAGTATTTAGAGACTAAGGAACTTCCTCCTCTTATCAAGTCACATTTCTTGGATGCTGAAGCTCAGACTTGCACCTATTCTAAACAAGCCATATGAACACAGTGTCTGTTCACATAAGAAATTCTTAAAGGATTAAAGACCTAATTTGCAAACTACATTAGTCCCTCAACGATGCCAGATGAGAAATTTTTGACCTTCCCAAATGGCCTCAGTAGTTAAATATACAAAGCCCATGACAACTTCAGTGTTGATTCTATTCTTTCAGGCTGGCATTGTGCACCATTCGGCAACAAATTCTGTGTCTGAAGACAAAGCGTGATGTGTATCTGTTGCCAAAGTAGGCATCCATACACCAGTGGTTCGCAAGCTCACAGAAACAGAGGCTTCCTTTTCTTTATTTTGTCAAGCTGGGAATCTTTTATGCAAATACCTTTGAGTACCTTTTTTTGGTAGTTCAGCTCTAAGGCATTTGCATCACTGACAAACATTTGAATTATAGATGCATAAAATACATAATTAAAATTCAAGTATGTGTGTTTCTCCTCAGCATGGAGATTCGATTTTGCATTACATGTGAGAAATAGCTGAAAGGCTGGATATGCAGAGCACATAGGAAAGATACAACTATTTGCCTTGAGCAGATTCCACAGTATGATACTTCTGCCAAGAAAAAAGCAGCTTTTACATGCACAAGGACTTCCAAGTTGCACACACACAGAAGAGAACAGACTTTGACCCAAGAAAGCTACTGATGGCAAACAAGCTTGTAAAGCAGCAACTGTAAAAATAAGGGTAAGTATTTATAGAGCATCTGAAGTACTGACATCCATGCTCAATCTCTGATACCAATACTTATACTGATTTGCCTTGGCAAGCGTCACCAAACAGATCATAATTTAACAGTTGGTTATGCAGAAGCCATACACATTTATGGGGAACTACCCTAGTTTCTAGCAGATTGATATCTGTGACCCCAGGACCCCCTCAGCTGCTAATATAGACACAGAATGGCATTCAGTCATGGCAATTCTCACTCAAATACTACAACAAAAGCACAGAAAGGGACATTTATCATGTTATTAGACCATGTTGTTTATCTAAACTGCATGGTGCTAAAGCCTTAGATGACTGCTTTCCTGGCAATAAATCATTAATTGAAATTACTAAAGGACTCCAGGAAGTGGAGAGAAAACAGCTGTAACTTCCAAAGACTTGTGGAAGTTTCTGATAAGAGAAATAAACTAAAAGAAAAGAGCTTATTTAGCTGAAAAAACCATCTGGATATAATTGCTATTTCTAAACACATCAAGGTGTGGGATAAACACACAGAAGAGAAAATAAATACTTAACCTGATTTAAAAATCTGGCATATGAACAACTGGATATAAAATACTTAGAAATAAATCTGGAGAGAAAACTGAATGGAAACTTAACTAACAGGTTTTCAGAAGCTTGGTTAGACTAAGATGGGGCTTGACTGTTTATGAAGGAGGTTCTGTGACATGGATGAATGAAACTGCAGGGGACTGAATTCATGAACCTATTCCCATCTTGTGTATTTGTGAAACTACTGTATTACTGACATTTACTGATCAATTGCTTTAATGACCAAGTACCCAATATTCCATACCTATGCTGACATTCCTCATCTCCTGCGTGACCTGGACTTCCATGTTCCGGCTGTTCCGCTTTTCTCGTGCCCTCTTATTGCTCTTGATCGTGCCATTGTATTCACTCATGGGCTGGATGCTCTCGTTCAAGGGTGTGACGGCAGCGGAGGGCACAGATGACGTGGGAGTGTTGGACTTGGTTCCAGTGGTGCTTGGTGTGGCAGCTGCTGAGGACTGCCCAGATTCTGACATTTCATCTTGGGGGCACTATGGCAATTCCAGGGTGGGGGAAGAACAAAAAGGGAAAAGCACAGCTATACATTTCAATTAATCTCCCATTTGCTGGCATATGGCTGCCTTAAAGCAGTATGGAGAATGAGTCTTGCTCGCGGTACCAGCGCTTGCTGGTCACACTAGGCACTGCAACCACAGAGAAGCAGTGAGTTCTCGTGCTGAACTCAGCAAGCAAATCCAACCTGTGAAAGAACTTATATATCCTTCCTCCTTTAATACTAAACATTATTCTTCACAATCCCATCAGTATGTGGTCTCTTTGTCATGCTCCTCAGGAAAGGTGGTCTTATCATAAATGAAAAGCCCTTGCAGCTCACAGCAACTACAGTGGAAGCTTTGGCACTTGCAGTAAGCCAGGCCAGAGTTTCCCAAGATTGCAGGACAACATGAATATTGCTTGGGAAGGATCTGAAGAGGCCTCTTAGAGGCCTTGGATGATATCATTACTGTAAGCCATCCGCACAACCTGGATGAGAGAACAACAGCAAAGAGGTTTTGACACTAAACTGCAGAAGCGAAGCAGATACCAAGCCAGGATGGTCTGACTTTGCTAGCACAGGAGACCTGTGTCCCCATACCACCTCCTGCAAAAGCTAGCCAGGCATGGGTCCAGCTTGACAACACAGCAGAAACAGGTGTGGTCTCCCCACTTCCAAATTACAGGATGACAAGATCCAAGAACTCAAAAATCAGAAACCAACAAATTAACACAGGAGATGGATTCCCAGTGTGAAATGCGCACAAATGGCTCTCAGTTTTACAGACATTACAGCCCCATTTCTTGTAACACCACCTTCTGAAAAACAGGGGAGGCTTTCAAGGCTCTGTCAGGATTTTATACTGTGACCCTTGTTTGTCAATTAAAGCAGCACTGCTTCACAGACAGCCAATTAACGTCCTGACCGATGCTGTGATCACTCCCAGACCCAAATGAGATCTCCCCATTCTTCATGGCAGCCCACTCCAATTACTGCCTGCAGGGAGACAACAAAATTAATGTTGAGACTTGGATGTGCTAATGAGTTGCAATTGAGTGCAGTGACATTCAGCAGCAGCACATCCAGAACCAGCTTTAATCTTTCCTACTTGCCTCTCCCATCCTGTGCAAGTACCAGAAAGATCCTGATGCTGCTCAGAGGCTGCTCTGAGCCTCCCAACCTTGGAGCTGTGACGCTGTTTCACTTCACTAATTTGGAAGTCTCATTCTCTTGTTCTCATAATAACTTCACAACACAACAAAAAAATCAAAATGGGATGAGAGAAAAGACTGAAGAAATGGTGACTTAACCCTTTGCAGCCATAAGTTTTTTTAAAATCTGGAATCTCATTAAGATCTTCCTTTATTTAGACTGGCCTCTCTGTATGTTTATCTTAAAACACCCTGCTGTACACTGCACTCTGGAAGTTAAAAGGTTTTACACTACACCTGTGCATTTACATAGGAAATCAAGACTTTTTTAGAACTGCGTTACCATTAAATATGATCCACATTTTGTATATAGTTTCTGCATTGTCAGTCCAAACAGCACCCGCATCCCCACATGGACACTCAAATCATCTCCCTGCACATTTGCTGATTTTAGCATCAAGATCGAGATGGGGACTTTTCACTTAGGCTGCTACATGTGGAAACCACACTTCCCACCTCTACTTCATATTCCTGTTTCAGGAGCTACTTTCCTAATATGTAAAGAAAAAAAAAAAATCAAACCAGGTTTTTGAGAACAAGTATGATCCAGTAAGCCTTGTACTACTTCAACTGCAGCCTGCCTGCTGTGCTTTGTACTGTACAAAGGGACAAAGAGTACCAAGTGTAAAGTGCAACCATGAAACCTCTTTCCCTGAACAAAATTAACAAACAAAACACCCACTCTAAGTCCATAAGCATAACCAAAGTCCAGGAGCATCTTAGCACCGTAAAAGAGATACTCAGGTGGGTCCACATGTCATTCCTTGTTCTTCTGAACTAGATGTTCTTCAGAAACTCTGTATCACCAGTGTCTACAGGGCGATATTTGTATTGGAGATATCCTGTAACCTCTTGTTCATTGGTATAATCTGCCCTTCACCCAGAGCACACTGGTGAGTAATTACTCTACTCTTTCACTTACTCTTTGGTTATACATCTGAGTTTTATATTTACCTAGAAAACGTACCAGCCTGCATTGCAGAAATTCCTCCCAAATGTAAATACTACCAAGGTGCTCCTCTTCACAGTCCAGAAGCTCTATTAATCTTTGCTGGTATCTTCCTTCTATTGTCCCAAGTGCTCTGTTAATGCTAAATATTCCACTGTATGTACAGCTCTCCTCTACAGCATTGGAGGCGTTCTCCATAACCCCATAGCTCACCCAAAAAATACTCTCCACGAGCACCACTTACCTACAGCCATATCTGTCAACCTCCTAAACATCAAATGTGTAGTAGTGACCTCCAAAATGTATTGCAAAGGCCCAACATTCATAGCAGTCATATGTCACCATGAGAAGCCACAATTGTATGGTTATAACACTGAAAGCATAGTACATAAAAACAAAAATGTTAAGGACTTTCATCTCCAAAACATTGTATAAAATAAAAGTAAAACTGAATGTAAAAATAAAATAATAATACAACGACAGCAACTAAAATAGAAAAAAAGTAATAATAAGTATACATGGACACTTGAAATATAACTACAGTATGGCCCCAGGAAGAAGGAAAAGTAGTCAGAAGAGTCAGGATACACGTACTGCGAAGGCGAGTCATGTGTGCTCAGTTGATGTCAGTGAAATATCAGAGCTGCTGAAGAAGAGGCAAAGCAGTGCACGAGCAGCACTGCTGAGATTTCAGTCATGCAAAATATTTAATAAGTAGCATTCCAGTCAGAGAGCGTGCAAGCAGCTTGCAGGAAGACAATCTCCATTCCAAATTGCAAATCTAGTCAGCCAGTCAGTCACATTATTTAATTATTCATAGGCTTGCTCCATACTCCTAGGATATCCTCTGTAACACACTACCCCATCCAAGACTTCCACAGCCCAAACTCTCTAACTCTACCAAGCAGGCTCCTTAGACCCAACATCCCACTTCTGAATTTCTCTAACGAGCACCAACACAAATCCCAGTGTCAGATACAGCTGTAGTAGCAGACTCCTACTTTTGCACAAAGCTTTCTTGTAACCAGAAGTGGATTTTTTTGCCTGACAGCACGACCAATAAATCACTAAGAGATCTAGTCAGAGACCCTCCATTACCTGAACTTGGACATCAAAGCTTCCAATTTATCTGTGTCTCTGATGCATTCTCCCACAATTCAGACACTGGGTTATCAGTGAGAACCACTCAACTTTTCAGAAGTTCTGCAATGGTGCTGCTTACAGAATTACACCTTAGCAAGTTTGTGCGAGATGGATCTAACCCCAACATCCTCCCAGCACTTCTCTAAAAACTAAACCCTGCTGCACACCCCTGATCGAAGGCACATTGACACCATAAGTGCAGCAATGCCTGGAGACCCCAGGGAATAAACTGGCTCCATAGCCAGAAGTGGGTTGGTCTCTGTGCATTTTGGTTGTGCTCTGTGTCCTTGCAGCAGTGTCCTGTTGGCACTGCACTAGTCTGAAGAAACACATTCATGCTCTATCTTCATTTCCACCAACCTCAATTAAGTTAGTGCACTGCGATCCTGCTATTTCCTAATTCAAGGCAAAGTTCTCCAGAAATGACTGTAGGACCCAACTGGCATTCTGCAAGTTGCTACGTTTCCCAGACTACTTTGCCTCTAACACTACAGCAATGGTTGGTTTCCAAGAACATTCTCCACCTTATCCAAAGATCTTCCTTTTGGATTTCCAACTTCCAAGACGGCAGAAGGCTGACTAAGTGCCAAGGTCTGTGCTGTGCTAAGCCTGGCTACTTTACAAATATAGCTTTAAAAAACGGAAGTGGCTGCTTTGTTTCCTGCGTAAATTTGTAATTTGTCTAAATTTCTTGTGTTATGCATCAAGGATGCAACTCCTGTAGAGTCCCTCAGGCCAAAGTACCATTAATGTAATCTGGTGACTTGCAGAAAGGGTTGTGGTTTTTTCTTTTCTGGTTTTTGGGTTCCTTTTTTTTCTTTTCTTTTTTTTTTTTTAATCTCTCTGCTTTGCCTTTACTGCCTAAATGTATTTTAGAGGATTAGTGATTTACAGCTTCTCAAAAGAAGAGCAGTCCTTAAATGTGACACACAAAACATTTGATGTTCTACAAATTCCAGGCAGGAAGTAAATTTTATCAGACACAATTAAAGCAGACCAGAAGCTCTGTGAGATACTGGTGGACATGCTCTACGCCATGCTGTGCAGAAGCACCACTGGCTCTCAGGCTTGTCACCAGGCATTTGTGGAACATCATCCAAAGAGAGGAATTCAGTGGGATCCTAAGCACAAAGACTTTGAGAAGTCCACAGGGACAGCTCATCAGAAATGTGGGACACCATGTGTAGTCTAAACTGTATGCAATCACAGTAAGCTGGCAGCTAAGAGTACAGCATCTGGGTCTTTGGGCTCAGACCAGTCTCTGAATGGCAGAGCAGAGCACCACAAGCAACAGGCAGAACCACACAGCTGCTTGCCCAGTTGCTATGCTGTGAGGTTTCTGGCAAGCCCCAGTATAGAAGGCAGCGCATTAAAGGTGAGAAGTGCATTGAAAGTAGACAATGCAATCTAGTGCAATGATTAGATATACGAGAAACTGAAAACGTTTAAGCACAGTGCAAGACTTGGGCATCCAGAGAGGATCAGGAGCCCTTTTAGCTGAAGATAGAAAGGCCAGAACAGCAATTAGTAAAAAAGGACAGACACCGGAGAGCAAGAGCAACCCAATGCCTGGTCCCAGCTGATGTGCAAAAGCACTGCTTTTATCGAGGGGAAGAGAGGGGACAGATTCCACCATTTCATCTCCAAAATAAATCCTTCACTTTTTTACAGCTTATC